GGGTTTTTTGTGCTCAAAAAAATAGTTCGGGGTAAAATTGTCATAGATGTACCAGTTTGAGATTTTTCCTGATATTAACCCTTTTCTAAATGGCATGAACCAACACTCAGCCTCTAAATATTTCGATACGGATGATCAAGTTCACCAAACCAAGCGCATGCAAACTTATCAAGGGCGGCAGCGCAATGACACAAATACGTAAAATCTAGGTTCATTTTTTCAATTATCTCTCTCTATTTTCCCACTTTGATTTACACTTTTTTCCGATCATGTTCCGGGTCAAATGAAGGCTAATTTAGGGAGATGAGTAAAAAAAAATTGTGAAGCAAGAAAGATTTAACTTCCAAATGGACGATGACCCGCCTGTTCTTGACAAAAACGACACCGCTTGATATCAGATTTGATTCTCTCTATTTCACTCTTTTCACTTTCTCTCTCAGTGTGAAGCTAAGAAGTGGTCATGTGGTCACTCTCTCTGCTTCGGAACGTGAGGAGGAGTGTGCTGTCCCTACTCTCGCTCGTGCTTCTCAATTGTGCAATTTCTGTTCTTCTCCCGAGAAATTTGCTCGAAGGAGAAAGCCTGCTCTCCACTGCAAATTCCAACACCGAATTTTGCCCCCAAAGGAACCAATTCATTAATTTGCGATTAATACACTTTGAGTCCTTGCCATGTCTACTATCTATTATCTAGTGTCCGCCTAATGGTAAAGCAGGATAAAATTTCCTATTCACTTTCGGGGAGACAAACCAGAAAATTTTAAAACAAGAAGGATTGAACCGGTCAAAGGTTAGAAAGATTCTAATCCAAATTTGGAAGGCGTTTGAGATTCTAAGGAATCGTAATTTGAAGGGTTAAGAGATTGAGTCACGATTTTGTTTCTCAATTTGAGGTTCAAACTATCTTCTGGGTTGATTTGTTATGTGGAGAGATTAGAGTAGGTAGGATTTTTGATCAGATAAGATATTCAAAAGTTCCCTTTCTTTCCTAAAATTGCGAGACTTCACAGCTAGCACGTACTCCATCTGCTGTAGTTAAAAGAAGAGAGATATCCCATTCCCACCCAAATCATTACGGGGAAGATATCGGCCACTTTCCTTACGAGTATCGGAATTGCATTGGCAACCCCCGCCTATAAAATCTATTCACCAAAACTCGAAGAGAAGAAGACCGAAGGAAATCAGAAGCCAAATATCATCGTTAGCGTCGGAGAGAATCAATGACGGTAACTCAAGAGGAGGGGGAGAATGTTGCACCACCGCTTCAATTCGGAAAGGTCGTTCCTATCATAAAGCTTTCTTCTGCTTCTTCTTTTCTTAATATTGAAGAATGACCTCGTGCCTTCCTTTATTCAACACCCGTTGCGATGGGTTAAACCCCCTTTACTAGAGCGCGATGTCGGGGCATTGCGTGCACAACCAAACCAAGATTGCAGATTTGCCAAGCTAGGGTTGGCGCTTTCATTACTTGAGAATGCTCATCGGTTCTTTCTCTCGATTTTGTTATTGCAGATAAAGCCATTACCAATGGAATTCTGGGTATCTCGATTCACGCTCGATCACCTAGTCGGCATATATCTTTTTATGCTTCCAAGGCTTCGGAAAGTCCCTTACCATGTAATATTTCTCTTGCTCCTATCACTGTCGTTTCCTTTATTAAAAACTATTCTAAGTTTCATATCCCTCTTGTGATTCTAATTATGCAATTTTTTTTAAATGTATTTCGTGATGATTAGCTATCTCAAGTTTTTTTCTCTATGCCATCACTAGTGTGATCCACCCTTTAGTTTGTTTTCCCCTTTTATCAATAGCCATTTGCTTTGTCCATCGACATAGTTGTCCGTGATTATTACGCCTATTTCCTTTTCGCTTTGACATTTTATTTCGTGCATTCTTTTATCATTTGATTCCTTCAGTGAGTAAACATGACGAAAAATACTATTTTATAGTCAATTTTCCACTCACCAATATAATTTTGTGAGAAACTCTAAACATGCGTCATTGGAGTTCTTGTTCTATTTCATGCAAAGATATTATCACCTGGTTGCGTGGATATATTTTTTTATTTATCATTTGACAAGGAAAAGCAACTATTCATTATTTTGCTTTTTATCTGCCCAGTCAATTGTACATCATACTAATTGCAATCCCTCAATCCCGTCTGACAAATATTGAGCATGTTGACAAGCATATCTGTTGAGCAATTAAGTAAACTCAAACTCTTTTATGTTCCAATTCTTTACTAATCACAAATTTTTATTGGATGGATAAATAAGTTGAACTATTAAAGAAAATAAGAAAGGGCATTATACTTATCTTGCCTTAACACTTATTCGCTGAATTTTTTTTTTGGTCGGAAATTCGCTGAATTAACTTGTCTTGATTTATATATATTGTCTGCTTTTTTATCTTAGCAAAATGATATTTCCACAACCGAAAAGTATTTCTGTTTTTGTTAGACTAATTTACCCTTAAAAGCTCATCCTGAATTTCCCTGAAGATTCGTAACAATTATAAAGACAAAAATACCATATACCAAATAATTAATTGAGTAGGTTGGCAAAATAGTGTAAACTAACGTTGTGTTTCTCTTTTTCATGCTAAAAAACTTAGCCCTACTTAGCCCTACGTTCCTTTGTCATTCTGAGCGTCTTCCTTCTGGAAAATTATTGGGTATTCTCACCTTATGTTAGTTCAGATCGGATGAGCTGGACATACATGAAATTCTCTTTTTTCTTTGATTTTGGTGTTTTTTTTTTTAATTCGATCTTGTGATTGTGAAAGGCAAGCACGAAGTGAAAGCAAAATATTTTGTGCAATCTATTTAACATATGCTAAAGTTAAATGAAAAGGCAACAAAAAACATAGAAAATTTTTAAACGGAACATCAATTAAAATTATCGCTCAATCAGATAGATAAAGGGTACTTAATATATTGAAATAAATTTCCTTTAAGTTTAATAATTATAATAATTTTTCATTGTTGCAAAACTTAATATATATATATATATATATATATATATATATATATATATCTTTGTAAATTAAAGTTGACAATAAAACAAATTACAAACTTATTTTATCACCAAAAAGTTTGCTTATAGTTTTAAGTATAATTTATTTGATTATGTGAACTTGTATGGCATAATCATATATTCTTAGTTATGGGTAAAATACATAAAGAAACAAATATAAACGCCATTTGGATGAAATATCATATAAATCTAAACGGAAAACCGAAGTATTTATCCTTCCTAAAACACATTACTTTTAACTTAAACAATAGCTTATTTTAGTAATGTGAATAAATAGCAACTAATAAAGATATTCACTTGATTTATGATTAAATTAAATGAAAATATTATAGATGTTTGTATTCTATAATTCATTTGCAATAAATTATGTTTAGATTAAATTGAAATTTAGAAATATGGGACGTTTTTTTTCTTTTGAAAATGAGTCGTCGAATAGCAATATTCAGAATGGTCGACGCCGTTGCTTTTAGATTACAACAGGGTCAAGTAATCAAAAATTGAAAATGGAACATGGTAGAAACAACAAATATAAAAATCAAAAAGAAATTTTAGATTTCTTTAACTATTTCCTCAATTATGCTCTGGGTATTTAAGCCTTCATAATTTTCAGGAATCTTAGTGGAGAATGTGTATGAGGTAGGTTTAAGGCAGAATGGTCTTTTCAAAATTAGAGACTCAGAAAAGGTTGTGGAAGAAAACTTTTTGGTTATGAAAATATCATCTCCATTATCTTATTGTAAGCACAGTTGTAAAATCTCAAGTGTAGGTGACTAAGTATAAAGTCTGAGTATAGGCAAGTGATATGATTTTTTCTTTTTTTGATTTCAACTTTCAATCTTTTCCTTCTTAGCAATTTCTTATTACTTGCGAGGGACAGTCATATAATAGAAACTCCTTCCTCCATTTGGCAAAATATTTTATTTTATCGGCCGTTAGGAAATTTAGGTAAAGTATTGGTAGAACCCATATCAAATGCATTTTTCAAAATAATACACTTGATATGCATATGGTCATCGGGAAAAAAGATTGTCCCTCGTTAATAATCAGATTTCTGTGGAAAATTTAACGAATATAATTTGTAACATTTGATTTTAAACTTTGTATTATTAAGATCTAGCAACTGGTTATGGAAGTTCTTATCCTTTATAAACTGAAGTGAATTCTTAGCCAACGGAATTCTGAGCTGTGGATGAGTAGAAACATATTTAAATGAGGATTTGAGGAGACAACTAAGGTAAAGATGCAATTGCAGATTGTACACGAACTATTGGGGCGAAGGTACAACAAAATTAAAAAGCGAATGGAAAAGGGAATCATTGGTGAGGACGATTCTGCGAAAGATATTGAAGAACCCATTGTTTGTGCCGTCTGCTCGGTTCGTGATGCTCGTTCATCATCTCACTTGTGTAGCTTCAGCTAAGTCAAACTAATGTCCAAACCAGTCCGAATGACAAGCTATTGGCTACTTTGCAGGACGAGTGCACAAGAAGGGAAGAAAGGGCTTATTTCAATTGTGGACACACATATCACGAGAAATGCATCCTGCCAATGTTGGAGACGAAGGTCAACTGCCTCATTTGCGGACAAGAATTGCTTTGTCATCTGCGCGTCCCAGAGGGAGAATCAATATTTTAGTGAGACGATCAACTATGATTTATCAGCTACTTAGGTTTCTTACATTTCCAGACAAATTTCGTGTCATATACTAGAGTATCTCTTGCGGCATCCCATACAGACAAAGTCACTATGAATCAATCTACTATCAACCATAGTTGTTATCATTCCTATACAGATGAAGCATCTATTATCAATAGCAGCGATCCTTTACAGAGGAAGCATCTATCATCAATCGCAGTTATTATCAATCCTATACAAAGTAATGCGCAATGAATCAAATCCGTCGTCACGGTTATTATCAAATCCATATAGACTGTTGTCAACTGCCAACTGCCTCGTATTACAGTCTGTTCAGGGCACGCCAGCACCAATTTGTGGATATATTCTTTCCATCCAAATAGCAATCAGAGGAATCCTATGAACAACATGTCTCCAAGCCTTCTCACTAAAGCTCCTCCTGTCAATTTGGAGGTGCTCTAGGTACTTCTCGACGCCCTCATTCAGGGATAACATCGGCGCCATCTGTTTATCACTGCCAACAAGATAAAAAGGACCTCAATGTCTAAAATTCACAAATACAAATTACTTTTAAAGAAACAAAAAGGTAGTCAATTTTACTACGAAGGAGGAGAGCAGGGGTTCATCTGGCTTTCCAGCTGAACCCACATCTGAACAAATGGAACGGGCGGGATGTCTGCATTTTTTTTGGCCTCCTCCATAAACAAGCTCGCGAGATCACTTAGTCCAAGCTCAACAAGGTACTCCTTGATGTAAGTATTCAAGAGGCTGCAGAGAAGTTATAGAATTTAGTAGGCATGGAGATACAAGATGACATACAGCACAACTTATCAATAATTATTAGAAATACATTATCTGGGACAACAGTTCAAACAAGAGTAAGTCATCAACAGTTGACTCGCGAAAAAGAATCCCTGAAACAAAATGTCATTTGATCCATTCAAAGGAAGCCAAATTTGATCGCCGCAACATTTAAATTCCATCAAGAGCAAATCTAAACTCAAGTCAGGATGCATCAATCGATGAGAGTTGCATACAACGAAGAACATCAAGAACGGCGGTTAAGGTTTAGGATTGTTTTGATAATCATTCCATGTTTATAAGGCCTATATAGATCTCGTACAGAAGGAATAAAGTATACTTGGACACCGAATATGTAACCTTGAATAAACTCGCATCCTATCCGAAAGATCCAAACTAACAGTGTACAATTGAAATGCACAAGAGAACACACATGATGTTAGCTGCGATTCTTACTGAATCTCTTTTTTTAGGGTACACAAAGGAGAACTACGCAATATCAAGGGCAGAATCCCACTATACATCAATCCACAGAGATGCGTCCTAGGATAGAGAAGAGAACAACATTTGAGCTTACCTCATTGGAGAAGATCCGCTGTGCGAAGCGACCACGGTAGCAGGAGGAGCCGCCGCCTGGAGACTGCCGACGGAAATGGAGAAAAGTCAGGAAGTATTTACGCATGCTTGCGGGAAAGTTTGTGTATCCATAAGCAGATGAGTGCCACTCGAACATCATCTCCAGTGAGTTTGCTAAGAATTTTCTTTAGATAAGCAAAAGAAATTTATTGCACAATGGCGTCAGGCAGATGCTAGCCCGTGTAATAAAACATGAACGCAACTTGCGTTATTAGGTATAGGAAAGAACGCACGTTAGTAATGTCGTTTCCACACCACCAAAACGTACTCGTGGAAAAGCCATATATCATTCGATCTAAAGAATCAGCCATCCCATTCTCAAAGGCTCTCCTATTTCTTCCTCCCAAATAAAACAGGAAGCTAATGAAATGGAGCAACCATAAACACAGCCCATAGAGCCGCTGCTCTTTCAAAAAAATGCGCTGAAACAACTCGTGATAGCCTTTGCAAGCAACAGAAGAACTCAAAAGCCTTGATCACGCCAGTACAGTAAGCAGACCCGAAAAAGAAACACGTAAGAAAGATAACATCATGTCGACTTCAAGTTCCTCGGTTCCGGCGGAACCTTCCAAATGAAAAACCCCCGGTCCCTAAATTCTTACTTAAAACTAGCCATACGCATTGAAGAAATAAGCAAAAGAAAACTAAAACAGCAAAAAAAAAAAAGCAGATCTCAAGATCGCGCAGCAGGCAAACCACGCGAGGAGGAGGAGAATCGCTGCAAGGATGTTGCCGCAAATCAGTGGACACGGAATACAAACTAACAAACAGCATGCATCGAACATCGAAGAAATGAGCAAAAAAAAAAAAAACAGCAAAAGCAGATAACGAAGATCGCGCAGCAGGCAAACCACGCGAGGAGGAGGAGGATCGCTGCAAGGATGTTGCCGCAAATCAGTGGACACGGAATACAAACTAACAAACAGCAGGCATCGAACATCGAAGAAATGATCAAAAAAAAAAAAAAACAGCAAAAGCAGATAACGAAGATCGCGCAGCAGGCAAACCACGCGAGGAGGAGGAGAATCGCTGCAAGGATGTTGCCGCAAATCAGTGGACACGGAATACAAACTAACAAACAGCATGCATCGAACATCGAAGAAATGAGCAAAAAAAAAAAAAACAGCAAAAGCAGATAACGAAGATCGCGCAGCAGGCAAACCACGCGAGGAGGAGGAGAATCGCTGCAAGGATGTTGCCGCAAATCAGTGGACACGGAATACAAACTAACAAACAGCATGCATCGAACATCGAAGAAATGAGCAAAAAGAAGAAAGAAAAAGCAGATAACGAAGATCGCGCAGCAGGCAAACCGAGGAGAATCATCTCGCGACGCGGCCGCAGAAGCATCAGAAGAAGGTGCCTCGTCGTGCGAAGCGGAAGGCGGACTGCAAATCGGAAAGCAGAGATCGTCAGGAGGAAGAAGAAGAAGACGGAAGAGAGAGCGAGCTTGTTGAAGAAGGAGAAGAAGAAGGAGGAGGAGGAGGAGATACCTGAGAGGCGGCGACCATTGAGGATCCCAGTCGCTCATGATGATGGAGATGAAGAAGATGAAGATGGAGGATTGCGCAGAAAAAGGAGAAAAAAAACGAAGTGAATGTGCGGCGAGGGGAGTGATCTGAGCTGATGAAGGGAGGGGGAAGGACAGACATATATATACCGCCGGCGGGGGGCGTGGGGAGAGAGGGCGGGAAGCCACTCCCCGTGACCGCCTCTTCCTCTTCCTCCTCCAACTCATCATCTCATCGACGCGGAAGGAGGGAAAACGCGGGAAGGATGTCAAGAAATGGGGATGTGTTTTACCTCGTGCTCATATCCTCCATCCTCCTCCACCGACTTTGCTGAGCGAGTAAGGAGGAGGATGAGGAGTAGTGTGTTTTTGCGCTCTTCTTCTTCTTGCTCTGCGTTTTTCGGCTTTTGCTTTTCTTAAGAGTAAACGAGCGAGCGAGCGAGCGAGCTGGCCAGCCAGGGGAAAGATGAAGAAGAGAGAACAGGCAGCAGGCAAAATGATCATACGAACAAGTACTCAAGTAGCAGCAGCAGCAGTAGTAGTACCATGGTCATATTTGTTTCTTTTTTCTTTTCCCCCATTAAATCGGTGGGGCCCGCGCCCCCACGGCGGTACTTGAACTAAAAGGCCATTATGGGCGACGGCGGTACTTGAACTAAAAGGCCATTATGGGCTTGAAACTAGTGCACGACGAAAGGATTAGAACAGAGGGACAAACATCCTTTATTAGGAGGTCTTTAACCCATTTCGGTTCCTCCTCATTTCTTTCTTTCTGTTTTTTTTGTTTGGGTCGAAGCTCCTCATGTTTGACTTCCCTAAGTTACGAAATAATTTACGGGACATTATTAAACCGACGTCACAAATTGAGCAGGTCCTATTAGGGCGCGAATGGTAATCATTCTGCTCCAGAAATTAAATTCTTACCAGAAATTGATTTCTGGAGGAGAAATCTGTTTGATAAAACATGACTAATTCTGCTCCAGAAATTGATTTTTGAAACAGAAATCTGTTTTGATTTGTTGATTTTTTTTGCAACTAAAAAAATTTAAATTTCACTCAAAGTGGATGGCCACATGTATTCTAAGTCATTCTGTGAAGTTTTAAAATTTTTTATTTTTTGATTTTTTTGGGCACCTCAAAAAATTTAAATTTCACTCAAAGTGGGTAGCCAAAGGTATTCTAAGCCATTTTGTGAAGTTTTGAAATTTTTTATTTTTTTGGGCACCTCAAAAAAATTAAATTTCACTCAAAATGGGTGACCACATGTATTCTAAGCCATTCTGTGAAGTTTTGAAATTTTGATTTTTTTTTTGCACCTCAAAAATTTTAAATTTCACTCAAAGTGGGTGACCACAAATATTCTAAGTCATTATGTGAAGTTTTGAAATTTTTGATTTTTTTGGACACATAAAAAAAATTTAAATTTCACTCAATGGTGACTTCTAAGCTATTCTGTGAAGTCTCGAAATTTTTGATTTTTTTTTATATTTTTTGAAAAAAATTCACCAAATTTCCTATTTTCCCGAAATCTGACTTTTTTTATTTTCTGGAAATTTTTATGAATTTTTCTAGAATTTTTCAATTTTTATGCATTTTCTGAAAAAAAAAATTAGTGATATCTCAAAATGTGTTGTAAAGGCCACGAAAAAGAGGGAAAAGAGAGAGAATGCATTCCGGAAGAAAGAAACTACAAAAAGTAGCTTCTCTTTTTCTTGCCCAAAACTAGGGGTGAGCGGTTCCCGGTCCGGTCCGGTTCCCATTTTCTAGGACCGAGGACCGGACCGGCTAGTCCTAGGACTGTGGATTGGACCCGACCGATGGTCCGGTCCGGTTCCAATGGAACCGATCACGTACTTTTAAATTAGGCTTTCTATTTTAAATAAATAAATGTATTTATTTTTCTATTTTCAAATGGAATCAATCACGTTCCAATGAAACCAATTCTATTTTCCAATAGAACCAATCCTTAAAAAAAATTGGTAAAGGCAAGAGGGAATAGATTAGGCTTTCTTTTTTTCTTCAAAAAATTTAAAAAGTAAATATATATATTTATCGGTCCGGTCCGGTCCGGTTCCCACCCTAGAACTGGGAACCGGACCGCCCGGAAACTGGTTCCATTTTTAGGAACCGGGAACCGGACCGATACTCTCGAGAACCGGACCAAACTGGCCGGTCAGGTCCGGTCCCGGTTCAGGCGATCCATCATGCTCACCCCTACCCAAAACTCATTCTTGAATCAAGAATGCATTCTGAAATCAAGTATTTTTAACAAACGCATTTTTATTTCCATAATGCAAAAATTGCTCCAGAATGCATTCCGGAAATTTTTTAACAAACGCATTTCTGTTCCGGAATACATTCTCGACAGAATTTCTGCTCCAGAATGGATTCCATGAGCGCCCTTATTGATCCCGGTGAGCATTTTTATTGCCTACATCGTCAAATCGTGTCTTTTTAAGCCGAGCAAACCAATTGTCTCGTGTCTCTTTCCAAATTGAAAAACAAATAACGAACGACGACATCTTTCGTGGGTTATTATTAGGTAAAATTAAATAAAGATTGGTTCTCCTGTTTAATTTGAATCATTTGCACCGAGAATCGGTCGGGGGAGACGCGAGATGGACCCGAGTCTGAATCGGCATCGTTGAATCGAGCTTCAAACTTCTCCCTTCGCAAGCTTCCAAATCACATTCTTGAGAAAGTCGACTAAGAAACTCGCGAATTCCGAACGAATTATTCGCCACACTAAGAAGATAGCTCCAAAGGATGAATAAGATGCGTTGCTTAGAAGAAGGATAAGCATTTCTTACAACCTGTAAATCTCCATACATATATATGTATGTATGAAAAAATGAAGTTTGCTTTCTCGCGCTTTCGTCGTCGTATTTGAAGAATATCGTAAATCATTAAATTTGGACATGGTGAAATTTTATTAAAATACAAATTATCAGTTGAAATATTGGCAAATCCCATTTTTCGTTTGGGGCGTGTTTTACAGCACTTGAAATTAGTGAAAATAATTTATTTATTTTTTACCAAAAGCAGCAATTTTGCTTCATCTTCAGAGACGACAAGCCCAAAACCCTCGCCCCCATCTTTCTTCGTGCAAATCAACGGAGATCTCACCGGCTAAAATGCACTCGAAATTATTAGGGAAGTATGAAGCTCGACTCGCTTTTGAAAATGGAGATCCTGCGAATTAATGGAGATGGATTATGCACTCGAGTCTCCTCTCCTCTCCTCTCCTCCTATCCTACCTCCAACTCCTAAGCTCCACGGGCTATGCTGCAAATGCTGGGGCAGTGATCGATGGGATGCGGGGTGGGCACAGTGACCGATTTCGAGTACCTTCATTTTCTTTGTTTTATTCTACCCCTCGATTTCTCTATTTCGGATAATGTTATTACAGAAAGAGTATTTTAGCATGATAAAAATTTGTATCGCTCTTTAGTGATTTGTACTTTTTTTCTTGCTAAAAAAAGAAGAAGTACCTTTAAGGATTTGTACTTTTACAAAAGAATGGATGTATACTCGAATTTAAGTCAAGAGGAACTGAAAGAACTGCTTATCATTTGTTTTCCCTTTTAGCAGCACACATGGGAATTAGTATTAAATAAAATTTTGTCTCCTGGATAAGTATTTGAATAGATATTTTCTCAATGTTGTTTGTGGATGA